TGAACAACTTACGGTAGGATCTTAGTATAAACGAAGGGATAATGCAAGTGTTCTAGTCCTTCATGACCGTTTTCTTCACCTAATGATCTCTTGGTGGTTTCGACCATCCGGGGGCCGTTACTCTACTCTTCGCGCCTTAGATCTATTTTAGCTTCATTGTGTCCAAAATAATCAAAAAAGTAACATTCCACAGATTATTTTTGCTGAACTTGTCGAAATCGTAAATCTTGTTCCCAATAAGAAATTGTGTTCTTCTTTAGTTTACGATTGTATTCTTAGTAATCTGTTTAAGAAGGCTGGGCTTAGAGTTGGTCTTGATGCTTCCTTTCCCCTCAAAAACCAAATCAATATATTCTCTTTAACTAAATCGGGATGGAAGATCAATGAAGAAACTGGTCTTTGGGTTCGTACCGGTGAGCAACTGCATGAAGTTGACGACTCCGATGATGAACCAGAACAGCATGAGGAACAAGCTCGAGCAGAGGAACAAGCACAACCAAAGGATCAAATTCCTCCATACTTTCGATCCTTTATGGAGACATTCGATTTCCGATCTGTTTCCATGGATTCTCGCTTCACTTCCATAGAATCTCATTTATCCACAATAGGAGCTCAACAATTGGAAATTCTCCGGGAGATGCTCACAAACAACGCTTCTATGAATGAACGCATTGATGCACTCTCACATGAGATGGCCGCTATGCGAGCTCATTTTCCTCCTCCCGATCCTCTTACGGATGCTTGATTCTGTGTTATGCTTTAGTACTTTGAACTTAAAACTTATTGTTTCAACATTTTGAATGTTTTTGGATTGTTTTTACTTTGGTTGTTGGATATTTGAACTAATTTGATAAATTATGGATGTTTGAACTTATATTTCTATATATTTGGTTTGGTTAAATTTATTCATTATTGCATCATTTACATCAATTAGATAAATGACCAATTTTGTCATGTCACATTGTTTATGAATATTGATTATGAAACTAATGGCTAACGTTTCTCTTGATTGTGATCTTAGCAGCTTAAGCTATTTATCTATATATAATCAGTTGGCTGAATGATTTCAAAACCTTGTTTAAAATCTTTTAAAAGTCTTTTTGATTTAACAAATAGGGGAGAAATGTTAAAAATGTTTTAAAGGGGAGAAGTGTTAGAGTAAGGGGGAGTAATTTCAAACTTGATTTCAAAATAAAATCTTAAAATTACTAAAATGTTTTGTTATATCAAAAAGGGGGAGATTGTTAAAAACATTTTGATATTTCGATATAACAAATTAAGTTAAATGAATTTTAAGATTTTCCAAAAAGATTTTCTAAGTATATTCGATATAATTATTCGAATATCAAAATATTACTCCAAATCTTTCAAATGTCATTTTTAATCCTTACTCAAGTGTAAAATTAAGTTTTAATCTTAAAATAATTTCAAAACAATTTTACAAAATATTTTGAACCATTTCAAAGCCAAAAATTCCAGATTGCTCAGAGGGAACCGATTCCCTGCCAAAGGGGTACCGATTCCCCCATGAATGGTTTGGCTCCGAGAAAAACAAAATGCTCGGAGGGAACCGATTCCCCCTAAGGGGGTACCAATTCCCCCTGTTTAACGGTTGAAATATTTGAATTTTACACTTAGGGAACCGATTCCCCATGAGGGGGTACCGATTCCCCCCACGCTCCAAGCAGAAATATTAATTGTTTTCACACTTAAACAGCTCCAATAACTTCATTAATGATCCCCAACGTTCAGAAGTGATTCAAGGTGTATTTAAACAAGCTTAGAAGCCATTGATCAACAACAAGAAACTACAAGCAACTATCAAGAGAGAATCAAAGAGAAAGCATCAAACTTCAAGTTTGAGCATTTCAAGCTTATTTTTCATTCAATATTCATTTTGCTTTCAAGAACACTACTTGTACTCAATTGTATTCATTCTTGATTGTTCTTTTCTTTGTTCTAGAATTGTGCAAACAATCTACCTTGTGAGGATTTCCTTGTAAGTTTGCAAATTTGTATTGTTCTCTTTGGGAGAGAATGTTCTAAAGAATTTGGGGTATAATTCTTGAGGGTTTAAATTCTTGAGGGTTTATAAGGTTACTCTTTGTCCTCAAAAGAAAGACAAATTAGTGAATTTGTGGAAAATCCTTAGTGTGGATAGCTAAGGTAGTGGACGTAGACTTTGGTTGAGAAAGTCAAACCACTCTAAATCGCTGTGCAATTACTTTCAATTTTCTGCAAAAGCTTCCACAAAATTTTTAATTGCCAATTCACCCCCTCTTGGCTGATTCTGTTAATCGATTAACTCAACACTTATCTTTTGCATTATTCCAAAAATTAAAATATTTCCATTTTAATTTAATGGACTGGATTTAACATGGAAAATCAACTTAAATCCAATGACTCATGTTAAATTCTACTGATTAAAAATATGGAAATAAAATTATTAACCTTATACTATCATCCTTAAAATTTTCCAAAATTTTCGTTTCGATCTGATTATCCAAATATTATACTGAACTTTATTACTTTATAGCACTTTGGTCCCTAAACATTTCCTAAATTTATACTTTAGCTACTAAATTTTCAAAATTTACATTTTGGTTGCTATCCAAAATTTTGGGGTATTGCACAAGATATCAAAGGTACAAGTGATTGTGTTTCACATTAAGAAGAAGACCTGTGTTGCAGAAATCCTCAAGAAAAAAATTATAACCATATCCATAATGGATATGAGTTTTCAGCTGTAGACAAGTCTAGATAATAAGTTGAATGACTTTAGAATTTCTTGGAGGATATTTTTGAATGACTAAAGTTTGTTCCGAAATTATTCATATATTGGTAGAGCACAAAACTTTATGTATAATGGTAAGCTGAGATATATGCATCATCGACACAATACCATTAGACAACTGATCTTAAATTGAGTTATTGATATTGATTTTACAACATCAAAAGATAACATTACGAATCTACTAACCGAAGGGTTAAAATCGAGATCAAGTTGAGAAAACATCTAAGGGAATGAGACCAAATCCCATTGAAAATTAAAGGTGTTTGTGAAGAAAAACCTTACCTAATTGCTAGAGATCTCATGATCTAGGTTCAAAGAGATAAACCTAATTGCATTAACTGTGTACGACCACTTTGGGGGTCACCCATCCAAGGTCCAATCCTATGATGTAAACAATGATCAAATTAGTATAGGCTAAGCAAAACTTTTAATGACCATTATGTGTTTCGATGAGCCAAGCAACAAAAGTCACCTATGTGGGAGTGAAATGGGACCGCTTCAAGGAGATTATTAGGCATAGTTCTTTTAAAATCTTGTAGAACCAGGTAATTTTCATGGCTTTAAGGACATTCCAATAAGAACTAACATTCTTATTACAAGGGTAGTTGTGTGAAGTATATCATCATTTACAAAAATGATTCAAAGACATCTCGTCCAGTGTTTAGCAGTAAAATTAAATATATTGTCACAAGAGAAGGTTCAAAGGAGGACACATACCTATCTTATGCAACTATCGATCGTAGAGTTTATCACTACATCGGGTCAAAATGTTTTTGATAAAATGACCAATTTCATTCATGTGGGGGATTGTTGGGAAAAATCGATAATTTTGGAGCTTTGAATAAGAAATTAATCTAAACATTATTAAGGAAAATGTGGAATCAATTGTTGATTCGTACATGTGCAGACGTGCACGATGTGGGTAATGTTAATGTCTGAACCGTTTGGGCTCGTTGTGGACTTACAGATATTTAACCCAAATGTTAAATATTTTTCCTCAAATAGAAAATATCTTTTCAAATTTTATTTTGGAATTAAAAGGATAAGTATTAAAAGGTTCCTTTAATCAAAATAACAAATTTTGGAAATTGCTTGATTTCTTCATTCTCATTAGTATTTCATTAGGTCAAAAATTTTCAATTGTTCACAATTTGAAATCCCTATAAGTATCGTGTAAACCTACTAGATTAAACACAATTAAAACAACTCAAAAATTATTCAAAACGTTTTTCTCTCTTCTAGTTTTTTGGTGATAGATGAATGCAAGGAATAGTTTATGATCTCTTCAGCAATGCAACTGTAGCTGATCATCTAGTTGATGGATCTTGGGAGATAAACGACCAATGATCTCAAGCACCATAAAGTGGCCGAAGATTTTTCTTAAGGAAACTACGTAGCTGCAGGCCTCAACTCATTGTCAATCAGTTGTTCCGGTTCCAAAAGTGTATTCATTTTATACTCCTTTCGATTATTTAATAGAATAATTTTTTCATGTTATTAATCGATTTGTTTTATTCTTGATTCATGTATACGAACTTCATGACGAAGTCATGTTGTGTAATTGAATTTTATTTGTTGCGACTTGTATGAATCACCATGAAAACAAATTGTTAATCTACTCTTTAGGTTTATATGGTTCTGTCCTAACAGATAATTTACTTGGATTTGTTCTAATCCATGCCAATTGATTGGTGTTGCAAGATGAAATGTGGCATGCGAGTTATATATATATCAGTACAGCAAAATAGGTTTTTAGCGTATACGCCACTAACTTTTTACATATCGTGGCGTTTCTAGATAAAAACGCCATAAAATTACACATTCGTGACGTTGTCTTGAACTCGCTACACACATACCTTTAGTGGCGTTTGCAGTAAAAAAATGCTATTATAGACAAATATATGATGACATTTTTATAAAAACGTTGTTATAGACGTGTACTTTAGTAGCGTTTTTATAACAAATGTCAAATAATATCCATATACAGTGGTGTTTTTAAACACAACAATTGTGGAGCAATATAGTACCGTTTGGTAAAACAAATGCCGCAATTATCCAATCATTTATCCCACTTCACCCTTGTCTCCACTATTAAATTCTTAATCCATAATTTTCTCTCGTCTCTTTGAATATCACCGGTCACAGTCGAAAAAGAAAAAAATGAAACCATGAATTACCGCAGTAAATAATGAAATTATGGTTTTGATTTCCCCTCGTTGCTGGCATCTTCATAAACAATTCTAAAATCTCTCATCGAAAACAGATGCTTATAGTTCCACCAAAATGGTTAGTTTCTCCCCTTCATTTGAATTTCATTTCACCCATTTTCATTTTGTTCTGATTCTTTACTTACGATTTCAAATCACATTTCTTGTTATTTGCTTTCATAGTTTCAACTTTAAGGTTTTCTTTAAGATTTCAACGTGTTTGTTACTTTGATGGCGATGGTTGTCGGAGTAATGGCAGATTTTTAAGTTATACAAAAATAAAATTTTTGAACGATTCCAAAAATAAAATGGCTGAGTCAAACAAAGTAAAGTTGTTTCCTTTTCTCCCCTATTGTTGTTGTTTGGTTGATGAGAACGTTGATGAAGACAATAGAAAGCAAGTTGATTTTGAGTCACTAACTTACTGATCCGTGCAAACCTTATTCTCACAAATTTTGAAACTTAAACCAACTGGTTTAAATTGAATAGCTAGGTATGGCGTTTAGGACTATGATATTCCTTTGTATGCAGAAATTGGAACTTTAGTTTCTTAAACGAGTGTGTTCGATGTAATACTCCTTTTCAATGTGTTCCATAGTAGTTTCTAAATGGTATTAGGTTCTATCATATTTGTTTTATTACAAGTTATTTAATGATTTATTTGTTTGAATTTCTAGGTTTTCTGTTTTGTTTGATTTGAGTAAAGTTATTCTTCTTTGTTATTTTGTTTCAAAGTCTCTAGCACTGCTGTTTTGACTGAACTTTTCCTATTTTCCTTGTTTTTACAGGCTAGAGGGTTGAAGAAACATTTGAAGAGGCTCAATGCTCCATGGCATTGGATGCTCGACAAGCTTGGTGGTGCATTTGCATGTTATCTTCTCGAATATTTTTTGTCATTCTGTGATTTGATGCTACTATTTTTTAATTCTGTTTATTTTCGACGGTGCTACCCATGTCCAGGTATAGTTTATTTTATAAAAAATGTTTTGAATGTATTGAATTGATTCCTTTAAATGTCTTTGTGTTTTCAAGAATAAATTAATCAAATGAAAAACAGGCTGACGTTTTTTATAAGTTGATTGTAATTAACCCACTATTTAGATTTATTATAAATTAATTGTTACTATTGGCCACAGCCAAAACTTGAATTTATGTCTGTAGGAGATTGTGTGCAACGTAAACTGATTTTAAGGGATCATTGTAGTTTATTGTCTAATTTCTTTTCTATCCCTGTTCAGTGATCTTATAGAAATTTTATTTTCATTGTTTTCATTGCAGCCCTGATAGAATTCACAGTATCTGTGGCCCAAATTTTAAGTGAGCTGGAAATGTTGATTTCTATGAAGCAAGATCAAGTTTTGGTGCACAAGTTGTACAGGTATCTTCTAACGATAAATTTACATAAAATATCATTCAATTATATAATTACATATTACTGATTGAAATCTTTTTGTTCTTCAATTATGGAGTTTATTCAAGAGTGAATTATATGATATAGACAAGTACCCAAATTTTATTGAATTTTATTGAATCTTACTTTTTTTTTTCAAACAAGAGACTAAGAGACGACCTCTAACAGCAAATTTGACAGCAAAAGCAGTTCCTACTGTTGTTACTACTGATTCTACTGGATGCCACCAGGATTCTGTCCTCTCTTTGGCTTTTGTGAAATTGAAACAGAGACTCTTGATATTGTAGACACTAAATTTTTACCCGAGCAGCCCCCTCCATCCAGCAGCCCCTCCACGCATCATTTCCAGCAGCTTCCAGCGAGCAGCCCCTCCACGCATCAGTTGCAGCGGCTTTCAGCACTGCCAGGTGATCTAACGCCCTGCTGCCATGCTGAAGCCTCCAGAAGCCAGCTGCCTTGTCCACGTTGCTACCCTATGGTGAGTCACCACCATAGTTCGGTGACTCACAGAGGGCCATTCCTTTAACCGGTCCGAAGAAGACACCGGCGAGGCCTATAAATGGCCATCTCCTGCAGAGAAGAAAAGGAGCAGAGAGACAAACACAGAGGAGGACGGAGGAACAAAGGAGAACCATACCCAACACAGCAGAAAAAGGGGAAACAGACAGCAACCACCCAACAGCCAAATATCGAAAGAAAAGAGAAGAGAGAAACTTATCGAGGAAACTGCAGTCATCGGAGCCTCCTCGCACCGTCGGAAAGCCAAAAATCAAAGGTAAAAAAACCTTAGATCTAGGTCGATCTAAGGGGATTTAGGGTAAAAGGAGGCCGGATTTGGCCTTTAGGAGTTGAAATCCTTAATTTGGTGTAGTTTGGTAATCTTCGGCCACCGGAGACGGTGACCGGCGGCGGTGATCGGCGCCGGAATGTGGCAGCCGGCCTTCCTCTGGTTGGAGAATTTAGAGAGAAGGCAGAGCTTCTCTCTCTAAAAGAGAGAAGCCAAGCCAGAAAATGAAACAAATGGCCCTCTTAGGCCAGTTAAAGGGTATTAATACCCTCATCAAAACGACACCGTTTTGATGAGAGATGATTGTGCAATTTCACACATGATAAAACCCTTTCCGCTACCCTTGTAACTTTGTAACATTACATTTTAGTCACTTTAATCAAGTCTCGAACCTTTTAATTTAGACTCTTAATTTTAAATTAAATTATAATTTGGTCATATTCATGAAATATAAATATTTTAGGAAAATAACATATTTAGACCTTTAATTTTAATAATTAATATATTAATCCCGGTTATTTTAATTTGATATTCGAATTTAATATAATTTTAATTTAGTCACTATATTAATAATAAGGTAAAATACCATATTTAGTCCTTTTAATTATTAATATATTTTATTTTGATCTTGAATTATTAATTATTATTAAATTACATTAAATATACATATATTTAATAATAATTTAAAATTACATTAGGATAAAGACGTTTACTGGTCTATTATGACCATAATTTCCTTCTACCTAATGTAAAATAATATAATAAATTGTTTTTTAGTCTTTCTCCTTAATCAATGGCATCAATCATTGTGAATAATCTCTATATAAAATTTAATATTAAAAATCAAAATTTTCTTGTAACCGGTTGTAATAAAAAAGAAATATGAACATTTGTTACTATTACAAGTATGACAATATTTTTTTTGATAAATTATATTTTAATGTGAATTATTATCTATAGTTAATTTACACTAATAATATCTAGATTTTATTATTTTTAATTTAATCATATAGTTTTAATTTTTTATCACTGTTTTATTTTATTTAATTTTATCATTAACTTTTTAATTTCAATATGTTTAAATTAGTACTTTAATTATTATTATTTTATTTTAGTCATATATATATTTGATTAAATAATAATATTTGTTTATTTTAAATATTAAGAAATTGACAGTCTTAATGCAATTAGATGTCCTTTTTGATATTTTTTAATAAAATATTATATTTAATTCACTCTTAGTTAATCATATGTTTAGAAAAAATTATTATATTCTTATTAATATTTATTTATTAATATTAAAGAAAGGAGCAGTCTTAAAGCAACTAGATGCCATTTTCTGATATTTCTAAATAAATAAATATTTTATTTATAAAACCCTAAAAATATACATTTTTACTTTTTAAAAATTATTTTTCTTAAAATTATAAATTTGAAATAATAAGATTATAAATTAACCATATTTTTGAATTTTTAAATATCTAATAATAGAGACAATTTATAATTAATAAGTACCAATTTTGGGCGTTGTGGGGGTGCTAATCCTTCCCCAAACGTAATCGACCACGAATCCTGTTTTACTAAAATTTTTGGTTATACGCAAACCAATTTTATCTTTTAAATTATGTTTTATTCAAAACTATTTTAAAAGATTTTTTAGGTATTTAACCTACCTAACCCCAAAAGGTCAATGGCGACTCCTAAAAACATTTTTTTAAATCAAAATTATTTTTATCCCCGCCAAGTAAAATTTTTGCCCGGACAAAAATCGGTTACGATAGCTTGGCGACTCCGCTGGGGAAATTGGTCAAACTTTAAAATCAATTATAAATTGTCTCTATTAATTAAAAATTAAAAATTCATATATTTAATTTTTAATTCTTTCTTTTCAAAATTTTTATATATACTTATTATTTTCATAATATTTATATGTATATTATTTTATTAATGTTTCATTTTATTTTTCAAGTATTTTATTTCATTATTTATCTGTCAGATGTTTGAACATTTATCCTCACACACAACACATGCATTGCATAAACATAATCTCTATAACTGAGATTTGTCCCTTTTAAGTGGGAGTGAAAGCGACGTCTTCGTGAGAATTTATTCTCCGTGTCAGACCTAGCAAGTAGCTTTCGGGGTTCATATGCTCTATATCTTCGTGAGAATTTATTCTCCGTGTCAGGCATAGAGAAGTGTATCCCCTCGAATTGAACTCGATCCACTTTAGTCTGTGATGGACTAGGATAGAGGGTTAGCAGCCAAAGGGGGCACTAACAAGGACAATTCGGGTACCTTTACTCCTAGAATTGAAACCCTGCATATAATAAACCCTAGCACTTCACCTGATCTAAGACAGTATTGAACCTCTGTCCGTAGGTGTACACAAAGGAGAAATAAGTTCTAGCTTTTAATTTATTCATTATTTTTTTCTGAATAAATGCCTGCGAACTAGAAATCATGCAGTTAGGTTAATTTTTTCAAACAAAGCATGGAACTAGAAAGCATGAGGCTAGGAGTTATACCTTTATATATATAATTTTTCTTTCCATCAGTTGGTACTAACTATTATTTTTTTATTTTTCCATTTTTGTTTATATTCTTTTGTCTGCATTGCATGATCATGGCATAACCAAAAGGTGTTGACTTGAAAGACTGTTCATCAAATTGAAAAGAAATCGTAAATGGATAAAAAGTTTTATGATCAAACAAAATATGATGCGACCAAGGAAAGGCATCCTGAAGAAACTCTGAAGATAGAAATGAACAATGCACACAGAGATCCTGTTATATTAATACAAAAAGTACTCCACAAAGATTCTGCCAGATTGATACCAAAAGCAGACTATGGTAAGAGCATCAGTTAGGGCATTCAGAGTGGAGGAGGTTTTTATGAAGCTCAAGCATGCTATTTGAAGGACTTGAACGACCAAAACAAGAAATTGAGCAAAGAAATGAAACCATGCATGAATATTTTCAGAAGATCAGTCAAGCCTTTCAAAATGCTGGCCTAGGAAGTACCCCAGAAGAGTGGATAACAGGGGTCACCAAGCTGAAAAAGAACTGCAACTTATATGAAAATCTTGTTCAAGAACTTCTTGGACAAAAATGTTCTCTTACAAGGGAAAATGAGCAACTCCGAGAAGTGACACAGAAGATGAAGAAAAAAAATGTCACAGAAGAAGCTACAGTCCAGACAAACAATATGACCCATAAGCGGATAAACCAACCTAACTTTACAAAGAATTGAAACATACTGATAATTCAACTGTTGATCATGAATGGAAACTAACTTGGCTTTAGAGAAGTTAGGAGGGAAAGTTATCCCCTATATGTAAAGTTTTGTTGAAGTTAGGACTGAAAGATGTCCCATATATGTAAAGTTTTGTTTGATGCACGGAAACTTTTATGTTCAATGAAATCTGTTCTAAGATGATCACTATTGAGTAACACCTTTTCATACATGCATTTGTATTTTGCATTTGTACATTTTTACGTTTGTATTTACATTTACATTTTTAAACTTACATCATGCATTAAAACATATTTAATTAAATAATAATGTTTATTTATTTTCAATATCAAAGAAAAGGGCAGTCTTAATATAACTGGATGTCCTATTCTGGTATTTTAAATAATTTACATTTACATTTTTACATTTGCATATTTACATTTGGCATCTTTGCATTTG